CGGAAGGTCCCGCAGCACCGAATCCATCAGACGCTGGAACGTCCGCAGGAACTCAAAAAGTCCAAAAAGGTGTTATCACTGCTGTCTTGGGAATGTCCAGGGGGTGCATGGGCACTTGGTGGTATCCACGCACCAGGTCCACCTTGGAAAACACCCCCGTACCGGCCAGATGAGCCGAAAAGTCCTGAATGTGCGGCACCGGATAGCGGTCAGGCGTAGTGGCGTCGTTGAGTCGGCGGTAACCCGCCGTTCGGTTTGGGGACGACGTGCAAGGACTGTCGGAGCGGCGGACAATGCCCAGGTGCTCCATGGTTGCGAACTCCGCCCTCGCCACCGCCAGCTTAGAAGGGTTCAACCGCCGGGCCCTGGCGTAGACAGGAGGCCCCTCGGATAGTGACGTGGTGCTCCACGCCATGCTTAGTGGTAAGCGCAGAGAAGGTGGGCAGCGACAGGTCTGGAAACTCGGCCAACAGTCTGAGAAAGGTGTCTGCCCCCGACAGCGAACCCGACAACCCGTCGTACGCTGCGCTGCCAAGTGTGCACACGAGGGAAGAAAACGTTAAGGCATCAACCAAACGCCTATTCTTAACGTCCACTAAGAGTCCATGAGCACACCAAAAATCCGCTCCGAGTAGGGGAAAAGAAATGTCCGCTGTCACAAAATCCCAGCTGAAATGCTGTCCTCCGATGCACAAACACATAGGCCTCACGCCGTACGTGCGAATGGGACCGCCGTTAGCCGTCGTCAACCGCGGTCCGTGCCCACCACGGGTGATGTCTTCACTCGACGCGGGAACTACGCTCCGTTAAGCGCCCGTGTCACACAGAAACAGGCCCCCCGAAACGCTGTCGCTGACGAAGAGGAGCCTGCCCTTGCCGCCGACGCTCAGGGCCACTACTGAGCGCCGGCCCCTCCGTTTCCCGGGGGTTTGTAGCTGCACGGAGCGATGCATTTATTAGCCATTGTCCCGAAACGTGCGTGGTAAAAGCACTCTCCGGTGTCTCCACGCCGGCTCGAAACTGCCGTGTCCGGCTCCCACCATGCTCTCTTGCGTGCAGATGGGCCACTGAGCGTCGCAGCTAACGTCTCTGCCCCGGGCTGTTGTGTAGCCAGGAAAAAACTATCCGCTTCATCAGCCAAGGCACGGGGCTCCGTGACAGGCGTGTTGGCCAGCGCCGTCTGGACCCAGGAAGGTAAGTGACGCAAGAAAATCTCCGTGAATAAAATCCGGTGATCTTCCCCCCCTAGCAGATTTAGCATTTTCTCCATAAGCCGAGATGGCTTGCTGTCTCCTAGGCCTTGAATGTCAAGTATCTGGCGGGGATCTGAATTTGACCATTCAAATTGTTTTAACTTGAATTGTTGGATCTGAATTTGCGAACACTGAAACAAATAGCCTACATTGAATTTCAGCTTTCGAAATTGCGTATCAAGACATTTCAGATTTTTATTTCACATAGGTAAATTCGGAGCAAAACAATTCAGATACATGGTTTTCAAAGTAAAATATTTCAATGCTATAAATTCGGTGTGTCTGATGAAATTCAAATAATTCTGTCTCTTATTTGCTTCCATATGATTTGCTCCGTTCTGACGCGAGTGAAGTTGCCGTGGGTTTCCACCATAGACTGTATATATAAAGGTTTCCACGTGAAAGCGATGTCATGCTTACATAAAAAGACTGACAGCGCGGGAGACCAGTAGCAGCGCGGAGGAGCAGCCGCATAACCGCCCTCCTGGGGGCGGGCATCGCCAGTTAAGAGCGATGGACGGATCCCTGGACCAATGGCCGGCGAGCTGGAGGAGGCGTGGCTTGAAATTAGGTCACTTCTACCACTGGAGGTCCTGGTGTACCCAGAAACGTGAACGGGAGAGAGCAGTGTGAAAGAGCAGCCTGGGAAAGACGATATCCGTACGCTTTCTCTATTCGAGACGACAAAGAGCTCTGGATACAAGGCTTTATTTTTTACAGAGACAGCAGGATCAGTAGAAGATTTGCCTTATGTGAGGTTGGTGGAGTTTAATTATAATGCCCATAAATGCACTGATGCAAATGCGGTGTTACGTTTACTTGCAATTGTTTTGCTCTGCGATAGAGAGAATGTATGTTTCAAAGTTCGAACATTGAAGATAACATTAACGTTAACGTGCTGTGTTGTGAATTATGTAAAATGTTGTGAATTAACGTAAACCATGAAAGTTGCTTAACTGTGTCAGTGTGGTTCTGAATCCCGGTCAGTAGACTACACCAGCCCTGCTCACTCTGCTGTCACTGTCACATGAGAACGCCGGTACAAACGCCTTACATAAAGCGAGTACAGCTCTGCATGGCAGGGGGCTTTATCCAGCACCGATTAGAGATGTGAGAGATAGAGTCTGATCATGCTGAGTCAGGCGCATTGCAGTTTGGTTTGAGGTAAATAATCTTACATCAAGACATTAGCCTCTTGGAAGAATTAATTCATTATTATTTATTTTGCAATTATATTAGATTTGTATGGCCACGTTGAAAGTCAACTAATATGGTATTATTGTTTGATACTGAAACCTTTTGTGAAAGCTTGCTTTTTTTATCACTTGTTGGATTTTGGTACTGTAGTAACAACACTGTAGGACGTTTGGGAAGATGCTAAACTGCGCAAAGTAACATCTTAATGCCAGATTATTATGCAGTAGCTCCAATACTTTTTGTAAACATCACAACATCTATTGATCTCTACAATTATTTCAATTTTGCAAACGGATGCTATAGAATTGTCTCAACCTGACAGTATTGAAACTGGAGATAGGCCTATAGGTTTTGATTATGATAGACAGACTCAGTGTTCTTCTTCTGTTATATGGGCATTTTACTTTGAATTCTTGGTTCCATTTTTTTATTTAAACAGGCTCATTTTAGGAATGGTCACAGCTAGTGGAATAAAGGATTTCTTGTTATTGTTTTGGATGGCCTTCGGGGCTTTCAGTCTGCCGCCTGATGGCAGCAACTGGAATAATGGCTGGAGAGTATCGGTAGGGTTTAACTTTGCAAAGTGCTGCAATTTGGGCTGAAGATAAATAATTTCCTCAATCATTTCTTCATGTTATCGTACTGGGCAGTCATCAAACTATATTACCCTGGTTCATCCTTCTAGTTTTTCGGGTCATTAGCCTGGATGTCGACCCAGTTCACGCAGGATAAACTACTTGGAATCGGGTCATTGATAAGCAAACTGGATGATTCTGAACTCACTTCACTATGCCAGCTGAAAGGGCCAACAGATTTGTTAATTATTAACAGAAAAATGTTCCTTTCCTGTCCTACTTCCAGATGATACTACTCATCCATAGATGTTCTGAAAGTTTCTAATCAAGTGAACAAGGCTAAGAGGTTAAACCCTGCTATGTGCTCTGATATCACATGAGAAAAAAATACCCCCTTTTTGAAGGAGGATTGATAAAGCATCGATTTGTCTTGCCAATATTTTTGTATCTGTGTACATCCAACTTGATAAGTACATCATTCAACCATTATGTCTCTCCAGTTTTCTTAATATTGAAATATGCATAACTTTATCACTAATATGTATACTCTCTTTTTCTCCACAGATCAATAATTTTTCAAGCAACATCCTTGTGAAATTGGGATGATAGCGTTTTTTTATTAATAAATTACAATTATCCCGCAAAAAGCCCAGACCAGCATTCCTCCTGATGTCGGAAGATTCAGACTCCAAGAACTACTGCTTCTCTGTGATGCAGGACCAAGATGGAGCTTCCTGCAGCGGTCAGCACCCTCCTGCCTCGCAGCACAAGCATCGCAAGATCCCCCGCTCTCGATCGCTCCCCGAGGAGGACATGGAGATGAAGAGCAGTGGCTCCAGCGGTAGTGGAACTGAATCACACAGCAATGAAAGCCACGGCAACACAAGCCATGGCACTGAGAGTCTTGGCCATGCCTCAATGGGCAGCTCCAATGGCACCAGTAAGGACTCTGCAATACTGGAATCTTCTGAAAGCAACAAAAGGTCAGTGGTGGTTGCGGCAATTAAGGCTTGTGCTTTTATCTGGCGTGCATATTGTGATTGAGAAAAAAAAAGAGAGAGAGAGAGACTATAGTTGGGCGCTAATCAAAAACAATACTATTACTTCACAATGCAACCCTGTTTAGTGACATTGATACATCAATTAACTAACATAAAGATCAAATAAATTGTATGATTTGTGCATGTGTTAATGGCAAACCTTTTGGGCCATATAACCGAGCTCTACCAAACCAATGTTAATTTTCTGAGCCTGTTGAACCTACTTGTTTGAAACAGTTTGGGTTGCAGAGTTAAACAGGGTCGGATAGCTCCTTTGCTCTCAGTCTGTAGGTGTACAGCATATGAGCTATTTTACAAAGGTGGGCATTTGTTTGAGCCCGATAAGCATGTTATACATAGTAACCTGAGTTGTTGTGAGTCTGTGTCAGAGTGCTCTGATTTTAGCATATTAGTGTCAAGTTAAGCTTGTAGGTTAATGCAGTGGATCACACAAACACAACTACATGAGTCTTACATCATTCTTGCACCCTACGAGCACTTATTCCACAAGGAGGTGGGATTGACCTCCGACTGGAGGGCTTTCTTTTGTTGCCTGGCTGCTAAATGGGGTTCACATTGTTCTCCATTTGCTTCCACAAGCCCACTTTAACAAAACCCCACGTTGTGAGATAATAATACATATTTAGAAAAGGGGTCAGCTGCAGCACCTCGGTAACAGCAAATGTCTCTGTCATGAGAAGGAGATGCGTGTAGAAAACATGCCTAATGTCAGATATATTTAAAAATGATACCACCAAACTGGAACCAATTACCAATTTTTATATTTTCGTTAAACTTCACTTAACTGAGAAAGGCGATTAAATCAGTTGATCTCCCTCTCTTTTTGTGTCTCTCTTTGAAGTAATTAAGGTAATTTCTGGCTCAATTTTGTTGCAAATTGTTGAATTATCCTTCTTCTCACAGCTCAAACTCTCACAGTCCGTCTCTTCCGAGCAGCTCCAACGCCTTCAGTCTGCTGAGCTCAGAGCAGGACAACCCATCAACCAGCGGCTGCAGGTTAGTGCACTGACCTCTGCTACAACACTGGAAACAAATTCATCCCTTTCTAGCATTGAATATGGTTTAGATTAGAAGGGTTTCATGATAAACAAAATGTAAATCTATTTTTGAGGAATTGCTTTTCTTGTAAAAGTATCTGACTTGCCTCTTTGTGTGTGATTGTGCAACTTACAGTAGTCAGGAGTCTGCCAAAGCTAAGACCCAGAAGGAGATGATTAAAACTCTGAAAGAGCTGAAGCTTCACATGCCCACTGAGAAGAGACACAACAGCAAGTCCTCTACACTGAACACCCTCAAGTACGCACTGAGCTGCGTCAAACAGATGGAAGGTAAAGAGCATTTACATTTCCCTCTTCTCTGTCTTGTGTGTTAACACCAAGTTATAATGTTTTTGTTTAAGTTGCTGACGCCTTAAAATACACTCTACAATCTTATTAACATTAAGAAATATAGCTATTATTTGTACCACACACATTTCTTTGTGTGTACAGTATTAATTCTATGCACATCTTAGAGTACCACAATAAATGTTTACAAATAGATAATTTTTTTGTTGCACCCCTTACACAGAATCGTCATTGCTGTTTATAACATCAATGTCCACATACTATGTATTCTGTCTTGTTTATTGTGTTGTGGTTTTGACCATATTTTAATCAAATTACCATCTATGGGTTACAGCCAATGAGGAGTATTACCAGCTGCTGATGACCAATGACAGTCAACCTTCAGGCCAGGATGTATCCTCTTATACGATAGAGGAGATAGACAGCATTACTTCAGAATACACCCTCAAAAACAATGTGAGTCCCTGAATTATAACTGAAAGAATAGAACTATTAAATATTGACAGTAAAAAGACTTGTTTGTGAGCATTATTGTAAACCATTTGGATTATGTCTCCTCAACAGGACATGTTTGCAGTAGCAGTGTCTCTCACCACAGGAAGAATAGTGTACATTTCTGATCAGGCTGCCTCCATCCTAAAGTGCAAAAGAGACGTGTTTAAGAACAGCAAGTTTGTGGAGTTCCTGGCGCCGCAGGATGTTAGCGTGTTCTACAGCTTCACAACGCCGTACCGCCTGCCCTCCTGGAGCATGTGCACCGGAGCAGGTAAATACATGGCTCTCTCTCTCTCTCTCCGCTTCAACACATTGGTACTGGCTTACCACACTGTGAATGGATCAGGTCTTTTTTCTACATTCAGCACACAAAAGTATTCATACGAAAATGAGATCAGTAGAAAGCAGGGCTGCTTGGTGATAGTGTAGTACGTGTAGCCATCAACGTAATCCATTAAATTCAAATTGCCCTGACCTGTTTTATAAAATTCATGAAGCTTACCCTTTCAACCAAGGAAGATTGGATTGGGTGCTTGAGAAGACTGGAGTTGTTTCACAATTAACTCTTGAAAAGGTTTTATTTATTTTTTAGCCACTCAGAGAGTCCATTATGTTCTCTGTAGTCTGATGATCAGAGATAGACTTGTTGCCTCTGACCTTCATTTTCTTTTTCACATCAGACCCAGAGCTGAACTGTATCTGTTGTGATTAATGCAGCCTATTATGCACTTCATTAAGTCTTGACTCTGTTAAAATTCATAGTGTGGTGCTGCAGCCTCAGTGATGTTTATTCGGAGAGTTAATCAAAGCTTGATCTCCTGCTGGGGCTGAGACCCAGATTCAGCCGGTTCCTGATGCTTTATGAATTCTAACATTTCTTTCTCCCGTTTCAGAGTCATCTCCGCCTGACTCCATGCAGAAGAAGTCCTTCTTCTGTCGTATCAGGTGGGTGTGTGCGTTGGTTCAAAACAATTATGTTGGGCCATCTGTTGCTCATACCTGCTTGTAGTTTTTAATCATTCCACTATGGATGTTATTTTTTATTAATTTGTCACATAAAATGTTTTAGGCCAGTGTTATACATATAGGCAGACAGACACAAACAAACACAATCATTCCACATAACAATCCTTCAATGTAATGTAATGACTGCTTTGCATAACTGTTATCATAACCCCACACTAACCACTCATTAATTGTACACAGACATGGATGAAAACATAGCTAGACACTGCCCCCTAGTGTTCAATAACATAACATCTCAAATCCACAAACCTGGACAGAGATTATTTGTGAAGGCCTGTACTTTTATGAAACAAACCCTAACCTTGTAGTAATTGGTTTGTTTTATTTTTACCTCATTTCCAGTGGTGGTAAGAAAAGCGAGGGCTTTCTGCAGTACTATCCATTCCGCATGACGCCCTACCGGATGAAGGTCCCAGATACAGTGCATGCTGAAGACCAGTTCTGCTGCCTCCTGCTGGCAGAGAGAGTTCACTCTGGTTATGATGGTAAGAACAATTCATGACTCTGTTACACTGTTCAAAAACTGTACAGTTCCGTAAATTGCACTAGAAACATTTATACAAATTGTCAGATAAGTGACTTAAGTTATAAGTTAGAATTTTTTTTGTTTTATTCCTGCAGCTTATAACTTGAAAAGGTTTGATACAGAAGAGACTCTAACAATTAAAATCCTTTCTTTTCCCTTAAGCACCCAGAATTCCATCCGACAAACGCGTCTTCACCACCACACACACACCGAGCTGCTTGTTTCAGGATGTTGATGAGAGGTAAGCGATTGCAGGATGTTTTTTCTTCTAAGCTTAAACCAAAACTATTCCCAAACTATAAGAAGAAGAAGTGGTGTTGTTGTTTGCTAACTAACACAGCAATTTGCCATGTGTATGTGTGTTTCAGGGCGGTTCCTCTCCTTGGGTATCTCCCCCAGGACCTCATTGGCACACAAATCCTCCTCCACCTGCATCCCAATGACCGACCGATTATGTTGGCCATTCACAAAAAGAGTGAGTCCCCAGAATGAAATAGATTTCAGAAGTTTCCATGTCTCTTTCCCAAACATGATCTAACTATATTATTTTTGGCTTTTCCTCTGCAGTTCTTCAATTTGCAGGACAACCATTCGACCACTCCTCCATCCGGTTCTGTGCGCGAAATGGAGAATACCTCATTCTGGACACCAGCTGGTCCAGTTTTGTCAACCCCTGGAGCCGCAAGGTGTCCTTTGTTATGGGAAGACACAAAGTGCGAATGTGAGTATGACTGTCTAATCGATGTACAGTCTGTCATGGTTGCTTTCAAATATATGGGAGTTTCACATTTCGGCTTCTGATACATCCTGATGTGCTTTTTGTTCACCAGGGGCCCTGTGAATGAAGATGTTTTCTCGCCCCCTGTCTCAACTGTCATTGAGATGAAGACCGTGGACAATGACATCCAGGAGATTACTGAGCAGATCCACCGGCTCCTGCTGCAGGTGAGAGAGGATAAAAGATGCAAGTGTTGATATGTAAACAGCCGAGGGATTTAAGCAACATCCAATCCAATCCTTTTTTCAACTTTGTTCCCTCTGTGTTCCTATCAGCCGGTCCATAACAGTGGCTCCAGTGGTTACTGCAGTCTGAACAGAAACGACCACCTTGTGGGCATGAGCTCCTCTAACGAGAGCCTTAACAACAGCAACGGGGCCAAGATCCAACTAGAGGAGGAGGAAGTGAGCGACAAAGCACGACCGGTGAGTAAAACCCAAATACTCACAGCTTAGTACAGCGTGGTCCTGCTACGGGATGATATGGGAAAAGTTCATACTCAGCCTCAGCTTTTTAGCCAATTTATTCTATTCTGTTTCATTTATCAAAAGGTCTTAAGAAATGGTCGTATCAACAAAATTCGGTTTCTATTTCACAGCGGACCTTTCAGGAAATCTGTAAAGGAATACATCTTCAGAAAAGCCTTGAGCATCAGACAACCAAACCAGACATCAAGAAAAGCAATGGCAGTAAGTCCAGTTGACAACTCCCTGCTTATTTATCTGTAAATACTTGAGTGTGTGTCTGAACCAGAGACAGCTAAAAGTCGTTGTGAAATTGCGTCCCTAACTCCTGTCCTTTCTCCAGTAGAGTGTGTACAGAGACACTCGACGGCGGTGCGGCCCAAAGACTCGACGCCCCTCCACTGGAAGGACACCGGGGTCACGATGGAGGAGAACCGGTCCTCCTCCAACGAGGACACGGTCTTCAAAGATCAGAACGCCTACTCCTATCAGCAGATCAGCTGTCTGGACAGTGTTGTCAGGTAAGAAATAAAGACATGATGTGGATGAGTGGTAGCCACGCAATTCATACCCAGCCATATAAACTTCAATTAAGATCTTATAGAATAGATCATTTTCCACACTAAAAAAACAAAAGAAAATGTACATAATTTCATTGCTCTCAGTGGTTATAACATTTAAGTTCAATTTCAATGATTATTAACCTTGTAACAATTATTCAGTATGGTTATTTAACAGCGTAAAATGCTTTGTAATGTGCCTTACTGATGATTAGTTGCATATAATTGACGTTACGTTGTTGTTGTTCCTGTAGGTACTTGGAGAGCTGTAATGTTCCCATCAGTATGAAAAGGAAGTGCCGTTCTTCCTCTAACACCACGTCCTCTAACTCGGATGAGGACAAACAGAAAGAACCTCACAGCATGCAGGTGTCTGAAGGTATGTCTCACCACTTCAGTTTTACTACCAAAGAAAGGAAAGCAGACACCTATTGTCCCCTCATCATGCGGCCTTTCACTAGAAGCCAGTATCACTTGTTCTCTGTTCTCTTTGGCAGAACCAGCCTTGTTGAAGAATCAGTCTTCTCTCTCCGCTTTGGAAGATCACGACAAAAAGTCCAGTGACGCGGCCACAGCGGTAGTGGGCACATCGCTGCCCCTTTCTGTACCAAACAAACCCGAAAGTGTGGTGCCCATAACCAGCCAGTTTAGCAACATTAGCACCATAGTGCATGTTGGGGACAAGAAACCTCAACCGGACTCAGGTACAGTGCCGTGAAAAATATTTCCAACCTGATTTCTTCTGCTGTTGCATATTAGTCATAAAAAGATATAAGATCTTGAGACAAAATGGTTAAGACAACAAACAAACAAACGTGTAAAGTTAGTAAGCACATTTTTCACATATCAACAATTTCAAAAAGATATTGGGCATATTTATCAGCAATAACTGCCTTACCTGTAAATACTTTTTTTAACATTGATTATCAGCCCACTCTTCTTCAGCTTAGACTCTGTTGTTGACTTGACAGCATTAGCTGCTTTTTGAAGATCTTAAGCTTCTCCGAGTGATAAATATAAAGACACAGAAGAAATCAGCAACGCTGCTTTTCACAGCACTGTAAATTCAACTGTATGTGTTCGCGCTTCTTTCTCCGTGTCTTTACATGTGTGTCTGTTCAGTGGATGCTTGGCAGTTTATATGTCAAACACAGAAAGTCAACTATTTCCACTATTTCTTAATTCTTATTTGGTGCTACTCAATGTGCACAAAACGTTTGCAGGGTTATTGGGTCCCGTCCAAAATTACTGCAAAGGTGGTGAGAAAATACTTTTTATTTTTTGGATTTTATATAAAACTATTAATTTGCGATAAATTATAATCTAATGTGAGCTTCATTGCCTTAAACCAGCAATTGTATTGGATGCTGCTCATTCAGTTGCGCATATAAAGAGTAATTCACCACCTTAGAATACATAACGTTTCATTTTTCCACAACTTTGAACATCATCGGATTATTTAAAATCTTCAGTGATGATGAACACAGAAAGCAAACAAATGTGTACTATTTGTTGTACATTTGATACAAATATAAAACATTTATTTCAATAAGCATTGTGGTAATCCTTGATTAAGTAAGTGAGCCAAACTCGAGGCGAATTGATCCACCCCATGATGGAAGTATGTGAATAACATCAGTAGCCCTGGAAGCGGCTTCCCATTTTTCTCCATTTGTATTTTTAAGGCATTTTTTCCATGGTGTCCGTGAATGTGTCAATTGAAGCTTCTACAACGCTCGTTCAACTCTGCTTTTGTCCTCGTCGCTATCTATGCTAAATGTTGCTTTACAGAAGTCATTTTTTATTGCCTATGAGTATACTAAATGTATTACTATGCTGTCACCCTCTGACATACAGAGATCATAGGGGAATCCAGCCATATCTCCGGGGTTCCTCTCTGTGTTGTTTCACCTCCCAGTCACGAGAGGGAGTCCTATAAGAAACTCGGGTTGACCAAGCAGGTTTTGGCAGCCCATACGCAGAAGGAGGAGCAGACCTTTCTGTATCGCTTCAAGGAGCATCGAGGACTTACAGCGCTTAAAGAAAACTGCTCTCAGTACCTGGAGCGTCAGAGGGAACAGATCGCCAGCTATGGTACCTGACCACCACACCAACACAGCATATCAAAAGCCTTTTTAAAGGATAATAACTCTGTTAAATTCTGTTATAACAATATTTGAAGTTAAATAGACTAAGTTGGACTCTTGATTATAATCATTATATATTATTAGATCTCCGTAAATGTGTTAATTACAGTATTATTATACAATCTGACAATTGTGGTCAAAAGTAAGACCCGAGTTTCTGAATGTGTAACCTCCTTGCCTATTACTTGCAAGTCTTGTTTATTTCTTAAAATTCAAAAGATGACTCAACATTTTCTTATTTGTATTCTCTGTAGCTATACCCGCTGCTCAGTCCTCCAAGCATGATGAACCGAGTGCAGAGCCCACCGCTCGGCGAGGCACAGGGAACAAGAAGACCAAGTCAAAGCGGGCGAAGCAGATGGAGTCCTCCGACAGCACCGTGTCCCACCACAGACAACAACACCTGCGGCCCCCTCTCCTGACCCACGGCCTCAACCTGACCTCCTGGTCGAGCTCTGACACCTCGCAGTCAAACTTCCCCATGGCCTACCCCTCAGTGATGCCAGGCTACCCCCTCCCGGTTTACCCCAGAGCCAATTCCTTGGCCCCCCGCACAGATGCCACTCATCAAGGCTTTGTGGACAATCGGGGCACCCAGCCCCCTCCCTGCCCACAGCCCATCCACCCTGCTCCCTTCACCACCCCTATGGTCGCTCCTATTGTGGCTCTAATGCTGCCCATGCCCTTCTCTCCATTGGCCCCCTCACTGCAATCTCCACAGCCAGTGTTCCACGCAGCCACTGCTGGCTTCCCCACCCAAATGCAGCCTTTTAGTCCGGTTGCCTTTCCAGTCCCGGTCCACTTCGCAGCTTCACCGTCCTTCACTGTCCAGAGCCAGTTCAACTCCCCGAACCACTTTGCTCTCCAATCGAACTACATCCCCTCTGCGTTCTACTTTCCTCCAGGCCCGGAAACCTCAAAGGCGCCCGTGGTTGAGAGCCAGTCTCGCTCCTCCACGCCGCAGTCTGGAAGCCCGGCGTCTCCACCCCTGTTTCAGTCTCGCTGCAGCTCACCCCTCAACCTGCTGGAGCTGGAGCTCTGTGTGGACCGGCAGGACTGCACAGCGCTCTCCTCTGGAGGGCAAGGGAATAATATGGCAGAATGGGAGATGGGAGCCAGTGGAAACCAGGCCAAAGAGAGGGAGATGAAGCAGGTAAACCACGAAGCTAACTTTTATTTTCCCTTCCCTTTCTTTTCTTCTTCAAGTCTCCTGATGCCTATGATTTCTCCCCAGTAAAATTCTTAAACTGTGAGGATAATATGTCAAAGCCTCCTTAAACTTAATCGTTGTGGGTAGGGATGTCCCGATCACCTTTTTTTGCTCCCGATCCGATTCCGATCATTTGATTTTGACAATTTGCCGATACCGATTTTTCCCGATCCGATCTTTATGCAATGCATTAAGAGAAAAAAAA